AGCAGTCAGGGATGTAACGTCCCTTGAATTTCAGTGAAAGGTAACCCACCAACACTTACGTCTTTTGAAAATATCTAAAGGCTCTTAAAACAAACACCTTTTAATATAATTTATCCCAGATTTTTAAATCTTGTTTTGTTTTTTTCAGTGAGCTCCATTTAGCAACCACATGGCCTCATCTAACAGAAGGTATCATTGTGGATAATGATGTTTATTCGTAAGTATGTCTCTTTTGTAAGTATGTGAATTCATAAATGTTTAGATGTCGTCTTTCTTCATCCATTAACAACTTGCATCATCATAATGGCATCAAGAGCTTAACAGTCTAATGGATTTTGTTCAGGCTTTTTTTTTGTGTTTTAACCCCCTAGATAAATGCGTAACTCAGCTGTGAGCACCTGCGTTTAAAAGAAAAAGTTATGAAATAAAATTGTAAATGCTTATTGGGAAAGCCCATTGTATATTGGTCACAGCACAATAGTGCATGTGTTTCTATCTGCGAAGACTTGTTTTTAAGGTTTTCATTCGATTCTTCTATTTTTCATAAGCTTTGGATATGATGGCAGCCTAGCCTTGAGAGGAAGGGATATACATTAATGTGAAGTTAGGAAGTAAAAGGAGATATTTTATCCTGTAGTGTTATTTCCCCCTGAAGAACTTTGTCAGCTCTGCTTTCTGCTGCACCTAAGAGACATGGGTCACCACTATGTACTCATTTCTCTTACAAAAGAATACTAAGCATGTTAACAAGTAATTGTATTAATGGACCTGTAGCAATTGGTTCCACATCTTGGAAAACTAAGGGTGAAAATATGTATAGAGAATTGAATTTCTTCAACAACACTTAAAGAAAAACATTCTAGAGATTCTAGATTTACATAGTACTTATTTCTTTTCTGACTTTTAATAGACAAATGCACAAAAACAAGAAAACAGCCTTTCATCTGTTAAGTTTTTTTCATGCCTGAATTCACAAAGTTCTTTTCATGTCACTTTCTTCCTTGTAGCAACCAATTCTGAGGTCCAAAACAGAAGCTATATAAATGACTTCTGTAATTTAGGTTGGCTGATGTTGTTGCTGTCTTTAGATGTGCTTTTGTAGTGCTACAAATGTTGCTGCATTTTGAAGTGTTACACAAACTTAGCATTATCAGGGGTGGGCAGATTTGCAGATCCCCTGCAGAAAGAGTGCCGCAAAGTTGCCACAGCGACATTTAGTTTTCTCCAGCTAGGAGCCGATAGGGGTTTGTTCACCCCTACGGCTCTGCTACTCCTTCCCTTTCTTCCCCCCTACACCTGTGGCTTGTGGGGGTGGGTGAGGAGAGCTGCAGAGAATAGGGTTAGCAATAGGCTTTCATACCCCTGGCCCTTGCAGCAGCTCTCCTCATGCCTCCTCCCACCCACCTTTGCAGAGGTACAGGGGGCTGGCATTGACTGTGCTGTCCTTCACACTCTCCCTCCTTCCACACTTGTTGCAGGGGTGGAAGGGGAAACCAGGGCACTGGGATGGTGGGGGGGACAAGGGGACTGAGAACCCCCCCTGTAATACTACAGTGTGCTGTATGTTACATGTGGCACTGAAAAACAAGGAAGTTGAAGTCCCCCATGATGATCGTGCATTGGGAGCATGTGGCCTCAACCAGTTCCCTATTGAATTCCCAATCTATTTCTTCCTTTTGGTGGGGAGGTCTATAGTAGACTCCTACAAGTATGTCACCCTCCCCATGTTCTTCTCATATCTTGACCCAGAGGGCCTCAAGACACCTTTCCTGAAATGACTGGCAAGCTGCTGCATGGGATAGTAAACACAGCAGCAGCCACCTGAAGCCTTATAACTCTGGGAAGTAGCGTTATGTGGTCAGGGCCAGAGTGACTGGACAGATTTCAGAGGGGCAGGAATTGGAGCCAAAGCAGTGTGGGATGCCTGGAAAACTGACTGGTCCACTAGCCCCGTGAGAATATTGTGGGACCTACTATATCAGTATCTGTTGTGATAACGCAGGACAAACTGCTAGTAGGTCTTGTGCAAAAATTTCTGGGGATTTATCTCGTGATGAGTGGTGTCATCCCTGCCCCTCCCACTCCCGAGATGTCTTGTGTAGTACACACGCCACAGTTTGGGAACCCCTGCCCTAGATCATACCTTGTAAGTAACACAAAAGAGTTTGATTACTTGCGGTATACATCCTGCCCTGATACTGGTGGTGATGAAATGAAACACGATTTTTGTTTTTTAGTGATTTGGATCCTATTCAAGCACCACAGTGGTCTGTGAGGGTCAGAAAAGCAGATAATCCTCAGTGTTTGTTGGGTAAGACACCAGAATTCTTTACCACTTCTGCATTCAGGCTGTTGTGATGAAATCAAAGTTAAAGAGAGGTCTCCTAATCCCTTGTGATTCTGAATGTTTCTTGATTTTTAACACTTTAGCATAGTCCAGCCAGCTTCTGAATAGGCTTCATGTTAGGTTGTCTTTCAAGCCCTGCATTCATCCAAAAAAAGAGTTTCTTTAGTTGGATTTTAAGTCATGTCTTCATTATCAGACTTCATCATTTTTTGGCTAATGTTCATGAGCTGGTTTTGTTTTGTAATGTGCTACGTTGTATACAGCAGGGTTCATACCAGGACTGGGCAGCCTGCAGGGCCTGGAGCTCCCCACAGGTCCAGAAATTTGGCAGCTGAGGAGCAGTGTCACTGCTCCCCTGCTGCCAGATTTCCAGATGATATGTTGTCAGGGGCCATATCGGGTCTGTGGGCCAGGGGTTGAGCACCCATGCTCTAAGAGATGGCCTCTTCTGGTGCCATCCTCAGATTGAGGTAGAGGAGTTCGTCTACCTGATAGTCCCTTTGGTTTCTAAACCAAGGTGGCATGATGTTCTCTGTGTGTGGTTTTTAACTTGGGAACTCACTTTGAAAGCTGACTCTGTCTGAGCTATGATAGAAAATTTGAGATCCATTAAATGGAATGTGGCTGATTTTGATCTCTAGTTGGCTTTGGCTAACTCTTGTTACATTTTAACATAGTTTTAGAACACGTGCTTTAAGAATTTGAAACACAAATTTCTGCTTTTCCCCCAAGGATTAACTGTTTTTCTTGAAATGACTAGCAGTGACTAAAGACATTTTTCCACAATGTTCATAGGTGACTTCCTTACTGAATTTTTCAAACTTTGTCGTCGGAAAGAGTCAACCGATGAAATTCTTGGAAGATCTGCATTTGAAGAAGATGGAAAAGGTAGAAAATAAAATCTCCTAATTTTTGAATAAGAAGGCTTATTTGTGTTAGTTGTATCACTTTTCCATTCTGCTATTTTATGTGTTCCTGACTTCAGCTTCATCACTGGTTTATAAGTGTGAGCAGGTTGTGTTGAGTTGAACAAGTAGCTGTTAATGATCTATGTTACCATTTTCTCACAAACCCCAGAGCTCCCTTGCTTCACAGCCAGTAATTTGGGAAACAGAATCTTCTAGTGTTTGGGTCTCATCAGTCTATTTCCCTTTCGTGTCTCGATCAAGGGTTATTTTTATTTGAAGATGGACACGTGGTACTTTTTTCATTGGCAAAATGTTCCTGTTTGTTCAGTCTGATTTTTCACCTTCTCTGCTTCTCATACTAGTTCACTTCTGTTTTTTAATTTCTTGTTTTGAGAGCAAGACATTGTCTCTTTAATTTGTAAATCTTGGGCCAGCGTTTTCCAACCAGTATGCTGCAGCATGTCCAGGTATGCCACGCCCCCTGCTGGCTGGAGCCATGCCCCCTGCCTGCTGCTGCCACAGATACACAGACAGATGGTGGGCATGGCTCCAGTGATTTGCATCTACGCGCTGCGTTCAGCTGTGCCATCACCCCTCTGCTTGCCTCCCTCCCCCCCATTCCACATTCGTCTGGTGTGCTGCGGGATGGGAGAGACCTGGTAATTGTGCTGCTGGAACCAAAAGGTTGGGAAACGCTGTCTTGGGCACTACAATAACTTTGGAATTAGGCAGAAAGGGCAGCTGTATGTGAGCAGTGAGGCTGCCCTGACATGCTATAAATACAGTGCATCGGAGCAGACTCGATTAATTGAATCTGCTGGAGCATTCCAGTAGACTCCAATGTCTCATGTATCAGTATCCTCACACTTACAAATGGCGATGGGGGTGCTTTAACTAAAGCTGATCGAACAAACTTTAGTTAAAGCGACCCTGCCACCATTTTGAAGTGCGGGGACATTGATACATGAGATGCTCCGGGCACTTTAATTAAAGTGACTCTCAGATCCGCCCTAATTAAAGTGCCCCTCCAACTCCCAGAGCACATGTATAGACACCCTAAGTGGCAAGATGTTAGCAGCACAGTCAGCCCAGTTTCATCTTCAATCTCTAAAAAGCAAGGATGCCTTTTAGGTAGTTTCTGCTTTGTAGTTGACTGTGCCTTTTAATTTTGTTGGTTCCACATCTGAAACTGTAGCATTATATAGGTTACCAGGTTGATTAGATTTCAGATACAGAATAAAAAATACAGATTATTGAAAATAATTCTGAACTTGTTCTCTAATGTTTTCTTAATTCTGTAGAGGCTGCTGATATCAGCCATGCTTTGTCAAAGCTCACAGAACCAGCCCCAGTCCCAATCCATAAATTATCAGTCACAAACATGGTTCACAGTGCAAAGAAAAAAATTCGTAAACACCGTGGTGTAGATGAATCGCCATTAAATAACGAAGTCCTCAATGCCATTCTGCTGGTAAGCAAGCTATTCACGTGTATTATTATATACATTTGTTTTTCTTCCCCCTGTTTGGGACGTACAAAACTACTAAAGTAATAGTTTATCATGAGAGAAATAATGACATGATGCCATTTGACTGTAGAAGTCTGTCTGATTAAAAACAGAATGAAGTAGCCTCCACACTATAATTACACTTCTGTAATTTGAGAACTTGACAGTAGCATTTTACTGTAACTATACCAAGAAAATAGATGTGGGGAGAAGTGGGAAAAACACAAAAAATCAACCTAGTATTTTTTCCCCCTAAGTTCTTATTCCCTGATGCTGCTGACAAACTAACAGATGGATCTGAAACCAGGCCTACTTCTTCAGCAGGAAGCAATCCTCCTCCAGAGAGTGAAGAATATGTAAGTTTAACAGAAGTTCATAGTTGCAGTATCAAAAGTGAGGGTAATTTTTGTTGGGGGGTGGATTAGAAATCTCTTAACATGCTTTAAGGTTGTTTAAGATTTAGCTTTATGCATTTTTCTTCTCCATAACAGTTTTTGTAAGAGATGTTTTTCAGACTGAGCTCTTTGTCAATTTGCATTGTTTAATATTGACAAGCTTAAAAGCCCGGTTATATTCCTGACTGGCCAGCAGAGTTTTCTACTTATTCTCTTCTCCAAAACTGTTGACAGTTTGTATTTTTTAACAATTTGATAATATTTAGAATAGGTTTTATTTAATAGGAATTCTTTAGAATTGTGATCTCTGTATGTCCCACACTAATTTCACAATAACTTCAATTTCTGCAGACTTGAGAGGTCAGCAGTACCTTCATGGGGACCATGTAAATACTGTGATATTTTCGTGATATCTAATGTCAGTGCTTCCTAATTTTTCTTATTTATTTCTTTGTGTTTTTATTTCTTTTTATGTAGAATCTTTTCAGTCAGTTCAAATCGGCTCCTTCAGATAGTCTGACCTACAAGCTAGCTTTATGTCTTTGTATGATTAACTTCTACCATGGAGGGGTAAAAGGAGTGGTCCATCTCTGGCAAGAATTTGTACTAGAAATGCGCTACAGATGGGAGAACAACTACCTTATTCCGGGGTAAGAGAGTCCATTGGCCCATGATCAGAAATGTTCATAGTTGGGATAAACCTGTTTAAAATATGCTTTGAGTTTCCCATCTCTGCCTCCTGATTGCAAAAGTGATTCTAGCTATACTATCTGAATTATTGCCCTCTACTGCTTTTCTCCTTCTTATCTTCAAGGGAAGAAACATAGGGATGAGGAGAGAGGGAGGGTCTCTGTACTACAAAACAAAAATACAAACATTAATCTCTTGTTAGGTTGGCTAGTGGCCCTCCAGATCTGAGATGCTGTCTTCTGCACCAGAAGCTTCAGGTAAGTACTGGGAAGAACTATGTTTGTTTCTTTCCTCAAAATAGAGTAACATGTTTAACCAGTAATTTTTTTAACACACACGGTTCAGTATGTGGTTTCCCCCAACACACATTGTTAGTTTTCCACATTATTTTGCTTGTGGTTAGTGGTCACTTTATCCTAAGAGCTGGTAAAATAGGAATGTTTTTCCATACTAATTGTACTGCAGTTTCTACCTGTTAGAGCTGAGATAATGTTTTTGCTGCTTTTATAGCATATAGCGCAGCTTAAAAGGCATTGTTCTCATTACAGAAGCTATTAGTGGACAGCTGCTATTGCAGTAGAAATTAATTGTTAATTTTAACTTTCTAGATGTTAAATTGTTGTATCGAAAGGAAAAAAGCAAGGGATGAGGGAAAAAAGGCAAATGTTGCTGATCGTTCCCCTGGTGGTTCTTCTGGTGATACTGGAAAAGCAGCAGACCACTCTGGCGGAGACTATCAGAAGGAGACTGATAAGGAAAAAGAAGTTGGGAAATCTTGGGAATCATGGAGTGACAGTGAAGAAGAGTTTTTTGAATGCCTCAGTGACACAGAAGACCTGAAAGGAAATGGGCAGGAGAATGGAAAGAAAGGGGGATCAAAAGAAGGTGGCAAAGAATTCACCAATTTCAAACCAGAAGGTCGTCTACATCAACATGGAAAACTGACCTTGCTGCATCCTGGAGAACCGCTCTACATTCCAGTAACCCAGGTTAGAAAGTTGTAGTAGAGAGAGAGAGAGAGAGTGAGAGTGTGTGTGTGTGTGTGTGTGTGTGTGTGTGTGTGTGTGTGTGTGTGTGTGTGTGTGTGTGAAACCACTTGTTTTCTGTAAATACAAGTGTTCTGTAAATACTTCCCTGTCATTGCATCACTTCCCATTTAACACTGCCCAGCATTCTATTATAGCAGGGGTGTCCAACCTTGTTGAATGTGGAGCGGGATCATGAACTTTTTATCACGCAGTGGGCCGGCAGGAGTGGGCACTCACATAGCCTGTCCAATCCGGCTGCAGCTTGGGGGCGCAGGGGTCAAGGGGTGCTGCCTGACCCTGCCGTGTCCTCCCTGCCACCTGGGCGGCCTCGGACGCTCCCACACCTGCGCACCTGGGCTCAGCAGCCAGGGGGATATGTGGGGACTTTACAGGGGGGTGCGGGATGTGCAGGGACACCCCCCTGCTCCCTCTCCCTCAGGGCAGACTGAGCCCAAGTGGCACAGGGCCCTGCCTCCCCGGGGCCCGCGACTCACCACCCCCAGCGCAATGTCTGCGGGTGTGGGGGGATGCAGGGAGGTGGGAGCGGCACCGGCTTCCCGCCCCGACAGCCGCAGCAGCAGCATCTCCCGCGGGCCCAGCCACAGCATCCCTTTGTGCCGGCATCCGCGCCCCCTGTGCCCGCCCGCCCGCCGCACTGCGACCTGCTCCAGCCCACGCGGGTGGGGCTGGCATGCAAATGAGGAAGGGATGGGCGGGGCTAGGAACAGAAACCCTGCAGTGTGGGAGAGGGGAGGAGCAGGCATGCAAATGAGGAAGGGACACAGTGAAATGAGGGGGGAGGGGAGAAGCCGCACCGCGTTGACAACGTCAAGCTGACAGTGCGTGTGGAAACCTTGTCCCTTCCTCAGCCCTTCAGCAGCCATTAGGAAGCTGCTGAGGGAGGGACAGAGGGGCTCCTGTCGCAGCACTACGGGCCACAGAAAATGTTTGGGCGGGCAGCATGGCGGACAAGCCTGTATTATAGTCTATTATAAGGCCCTGTTTTCAACTTAATATTTTTGTTACAAGTTGTCCTACAAGCAGCAGCGTTTTCTTACATGGTACTGATCCTTTTCTACAGAATTCTGATTCTTCCCCCAGACATGTCGCTTCAGTGTGCTGAAGGGAGCAATATTCTCCTGTATGATAAAAATACACACGTAACTGAAATGTTTTGTAAATTGCCTGGGTATTGCGCGTTAATTTTCTTTACTGTTTTGAAGGGCAGTCATTATAATGTCTTGGGAGAACTGCTTTTTATTTTCGTAATCATGCACTTTTACAATCTGTATGACCATGATTGGTGGTTTGGCTCAGTCAATGGTTTCTTTGTGTTGACAGGACTTACTGTAGGCAACACACGAGTAACTAAAATTTAACAGCCCTGATATTTAAAAATATCCAAAAATCTGCAATTTATTCAAGTTTCACTCAAAATCAGAATGGGATGTGTATATTTAGAAGTGAGAACACTTGGCACGGTCTTCCTATTAAATTTATGGTTTTCTATATTGAAGTAACCTGTTGTCTCCAGATTTGTCTAACGTAACAGAGCAATATTCCTGTTAGCCCACGGTTTATTATGTTGCAGATCTCTTTTTCTGGTTGTCTTATCTATATTACATTACTGTATCCATTAGTACACTTGTATGTTTGCTGCCAAGGTCTAATAATGCCTGTGAGACCAACACAAGTGGAAATGAATGTCATCTCATCTCACTGTCTGTAGGAGAGCCCCAGAATGAGAGAGAGTGGTATGTGCTGGCTTTGCCATAATTTGCCTTTCCTTGCAGTGTATCTCAACAAAGGTTTTGAGAGAGAGATGTTCTGGGTTGCATTGTTCCAAGACTGCCAGTGAAGGGGCTCATTAGGACCATGGACTTAATGTACTTCTGAACACACTGTTCATTTTCCAAAGTGATTTAAATCTTGGGGACTTTGATAACATTAAAAAATGTTCAAATTCATGATCTGAAGCCTGCTTGTACCGTCCACTTCTATTCACGTGTTTATTTGAAATGACAATGTTTTCTTTAAATAAATATTCCGCCTAACGTCACGGTGAATTAAAAATGCTCAAATGTTGCATTCAATGTAGTTTTCATTCAGAAAACCTAGAATCTTTTGCTACGTTATGCCTACTTTTTCAGATAGCCCTAGCACATTTCTTATTAATAACATTAAATAAGAATTTATGGTAGAAATAGAATACGGTTTCATCTTTCTCCAATTTTTAAGTTTATGTTCATTTCTGTTTTCTTTATACTTTTGGAATGTGCATCTCTTAATGCATACTGGAGGTAGTTCAGACTCCTTTGGTGTGTTGGCTATCCCTCAGTCCTTCTAGACTTTCACTTTCAAACTGACTGACCAGAATATTGGGTCAGCTTTCCCTCCTGTCTTCATTTCCCAGCTTCTGACACCAGTTTTGGGGAGTAGGTGTCCTAGACCCTCTCTTTTCAAAGCGCAGTTAGCAGCAAGTGAGGAGATCACTTGACATGGAATTTCATGCAGATTAGGGAGGAGTGAAATGAGAAGCAGGGGTGCTGTGGAGTAAGAAAGAGTAGTATAAGAAGGCAGTAGCTGAAGTCAGACATGACTGAGATACAGACTAGCTTTTCTTTGGTTCATGATGAACTGCAGCAAAACAGTAACTTATTACTTAGTACCACATTGCTACAAGTGATTGCACTCGTACAATGTCATCAGTTAATCTTATGCTAATTGCATCGACTGAAAAAGCCTCTACCCACAAACTAACTTAAACTGTCCTTTCGTGGATGTGCTCTTTTGCTTGGTAATAAGTTTGCATAAGTATACAAGTCACTTGGTGTTTAGCCATAAAATTTAGTTTTTGACCATTTTTGTGTTTCTAAGCTACTTTGTTAAACGATAAGCTTTGACTTCCTCTTCTCTGAATTCTTTTATAAACAGTGGATCTTATAATTGCTGAAAACATAAGCTAACAGCTTGTCTACCCTTTGTGGTGCTTTCTTTCTTTCCTTTTGAATCAGAAGTGTCCAGGAGAGACTGACTGTAAATGTTTGTTATCTTCTGTTGCAGGAGCCAGCACCCATGACAGAAGATCTGCTAGAAGAGCAGTCCGAAGTACTAGCTAAACTGGGGACATCAGCAGAAGGAGCTCACCTTCGGGCACGCATGCAGAGTGCTTGCTTGCTCTCCGATATGGAGTCTTTTAAGGTATGTGCTGTTTGCAGATTCTCTGGGATCATTTTGACATGGGCAAGCTGAGATGATCAAGATGAGCAGTTTGAAGGATCTCCTGATAGCCAGTGGGAGAAAACACCTAACGTTTTTCCCCTTGAATAACATTATTCAGATATTTCAAAATGTAGAAAGCTCTTAGGTGTTAAGATCTTAAAATTGAAATTTAAAAATATTAAAATATAAAACATGCAGCACTTTACACCCAAGAAACTTAAAATATAAACAGACCAGCTTTTATATAAAGCATCTGGAACTTTTCCTGAGACAGGCTACCTGTCTTTTTTTTTCTAGAAGAAGAAACTAAAGTGATTCATTTTGGGGTTTCTGCATGCTCACGCTATACCAATAGAAGATCATAATAATGGGTCCAAAGTCTGTCCTGGCGGCTTCTTCTCAATTTTACTGAAGTCTGTCTTTCCCTATAAGAAAGAAAAATAACAAAGCAGTTATTTAACTTTGTTCAGGTTTTCCTGAGTACACCTTTTAACTTTGTCTGGAGTTTTCTGATCAGATGGAAATGGGAAATCTTTTACATGGTTACCAGAATACTTAAAAATTATAAGTAAAAAAGGGGAAGAATGTGGATTTGTGTGGGTTCATAAGAAACAGCTTTCTTTAGCAAGTAGAAGAAGGTATTAAGGGTTAGATTTTGTTTACTATTCTGCCACTGACTTGCTGTGAGATATATAAATCACCTAATTCCTTTGCCTCAGTTTCCCATTTGAAAGGAACACCGTATAAGTTCTGGACATTAGTGTTCAAGAACGTATTACACTATCATTATCAGAATACAATTGTACCAGTATAGGGGAATGATAACCAGCATGTGGTGGGTGTCTGTAACATTTCATGGATCACTTCTGTAGTACAGGCAGTTTCACAACCTAAAGTAGGAATGTAAAATTCATGACTCAAAGGAAGCATGGGGCACACTTTATTTTGCCAAGGTTTCTTGCATAAACAACTCTGCTTCTTTCCTTGTTAGATTACTGACAGTGCAAATTGTAGAAAATAAAAGGAGCAGAAAGAAATTGTGCCATAATCCATGAGGTTTTTTATTTTTGGGGGGTGCTTCTGGCTTGTAAAACAAGTAGACCCACAAATGGGTGATTTGACTAGAACTACAGTGTGTCTTATTCCTAGTTCTGTGCTTTGTCCATGAAACTGCATTGCCTTGCTAATTAGTCTGTACTTGGGGGAGATGGTGGCAGGGAATTACTGTAATAAAAGCATTTACATTTTTCTTCCATTCTAGGCAGCTAATCCTGGCTGTTGTCTGGAGGATTTTGTGAGGTGGTATTCTCCCCGAGATTATATTGAAGAGGAAGTGGTTGATGAAAAGGGGAATGTGGTAATTAAGGGTGAGCTGAGTGCTCGTATGAAGATTCCTAGCAACATGTGGGTAGAGGCTTGGGAGACAGCAAAGCCAGTTCCAGCCCGGAGGCAGAAGCGACTTTTTGATGACACTAGAGAAGCAGAGAAGGTAAAAAGCTGCGTTTTGGCGATACCTGATTTGTGATGCCTGTTACCAGTCGTGTCACTATTTGTGTTACAGAACAGATAGATAGTTCTCATTACATGTCTGTATTACTGTATAAAAACCACAGTGGCTGTTAAACTGTTACTTGAATGCATTAGCCTACTGAAGATAACATCATAGCATAATAGAGGTCGGTCAGTATAATGGCATCATAAAGGAATGTCTTTCTGGAAGTTGAAAGAATATAGCTGCTTTCTAAAAGCTGAACAGTAATGTATCATATTATTTTTTGACATACTATAGGTGCTTCACTATTTTGCTGTTCAGAAACCAGCTGACCTTGCAAGGCATCTTTTGCCTTGTGTCATTCATGCAGCTGTACTCAAGGTAAAGGAGGAAGGTAAATAAAGTTTTAGTAAGTAGTTAAAATGTTTTAGAAGCAAAGATGATACCATGACTGACTCTTGCCTTCTTTTTTTGTAACAGAAACTCTGGAAGATATCTCTTCAGTGAAGAAGATTATTAAGCAGATAATATCTCATTCCAGTAAAATTTTACGATTTCCAAACCCAGAGGACAAAAAATTGGAAGTAAGCCGCTCATGTTGGCCAAGGAGGAACTTGGTGGTACTGTTTGTAGGAGTGATTAACTGTTTTTGGGTTGTTTTTTTAACCTCTGACAGGAGATCATTGCTCAGATTATGAGTGTGGAAGCTATCATTGCTAGGGCAAGGTCGCTGAAAGCAAAATTTGGGATAGAGAAATGTGAACAGGAGGAGGAAAAAGAAGATCTACAAAGGTGATTGGTACTTTACTAACTTATTCTCCTGGGTATTTTTTATTTCATAGCTTAGATTGTAATAGTGAAAATGCTGATTCCCTGTATACCACCTCACACCACATGAGGGAAACATTCCATAGGAAGAACCATTTCTAGAGGTTAGCCGTATTGGGTATTTGGGATGTTGGTATCTATATGTACTTTAATTTCTGGTACAGAGTATTTTAATGCAAGCAATGGAATAAGAGGATCCAAATAACCCTACTCCGAGTCATTCATTTGTTGAACTTCAAGTTTGAGATCTGCTACTAAAAAGTACAGTAATGGTAACTTCTCTACACAGTAAAGAATGAAATGTCCAAAAGAATGCTTTCCCACTTATTTTCCTTACTAATATGAAGTATCATTGTGAGGGCTATAAGAAAACTAATGAATTAATTAGCCTGTGAATTTGGGGCTTTTTTCCCTGTTGCTCCACCATACAGTCTCTGATTACTTATTCTCAGGTTGGCTAAACAAAGACTGCTTAAATTTTGGAGCTGACTAACTGGTTACAGCTGAGGAGGTAGCTGTACTCAGAGGAGAGGAATAGGAACTCTTTGCTGGAGCCTTCTGCCCAGTCTAGTCTTGCTGCTAGAAAATCCTCTCACTTTCTGCCTAGAGCTCTTAATGTGTTCACTTGCTCTGCAGCTGATTTCTAACTTTTTTGGAAGTTGAGAGGCACTTGAGGGTAGTGACTTAATAGGTCCGCTAAAAGCTGAATGGGAGGAATGAAGGAATAACTTACTCGATGCCTGTTAAGTTGGAGGGAGTGGACAGAGGTACCGGAGGCGTGAGCTTATTTTTTGGGCACTAGGAGTTAAGGTATTTCAAAACGATATCTTGTGAACTACTGAAAAGATGGTAAGCTTCTAAACTGAATGATCAGATTTTTGAATATGCATCTTCCAAATGCTGCTCTGGCATTTCCATTCATATATTCAGGCTAGATGGGGAGCTTTTGTAGTTCCTCTGGTAATGACTTTCAGGCTTAATGTCAATAAAATGAGAAGAATGGATATAGCTAAGAACTAGGATACTCACATGCTCTCTCTTTCATTACCTTGTGCCACCAGGTTTGTAAATTGTCTTTTGGAGCAGCCAGAAGTATCAGTTGTTGGCGCAGGAAGAGGACCTGCTGGTAGTATCATTCACAAGCTGTTTGTGAATGCCCAGAGGGTAAGCTGGGTTCTCACTTACTACTTTGTTGCTTAATCTAAATAAGATGAGGGAGCTACTCTCTTTTGAAGATTTCTTCAATATATATGTTCAGTAGCATGCACTTCAAAAATATTCATGAGATTCTGCAACAGTGGGAACAATTTTGGCAATTGCATAATTTAGTTGCCTGAAGAAAGAAGATGCAGGCTGTGGATGCCATTGGGTACAGACACCTGAGTGACCTTCAGATGCAGTGTATCTTGAAGTGTGACTGTAATGCCATGGTGAGATCCTACATTTTTATCCATCTTTTTCAGACCCAAGTCTTTTTTTTTTTTTTTTTTCAGGTTTCAGTTTCCAGCCTTGCATACGCTTGAGCTTTGAGTTAAATGGGTTTATTTTTATGTATTACCAAGTTTACCCGAATTCAAGATGGCTCAGAATTTTTAAAATGATGCCCAAATAATTCAATTCTACACATGGAAAATGTATAAATTTGTTTTAGATTCCATCTATCCATGGAAGTTTAATTATCGTTGGGTCATCTTTTAAATTTATACCCTCCCTTCTCCCCAGCTGCTGCAGTAGGGCAAGCAGCCTGCTTCTTGGCCTGCCTTCTGCCCCCACTCGTCGTCCTATCCCCCACCTCACCCCATCTAGCTGGCCATGCAATGCACCAGCAGTTGAAGTGGCAGCAGCCAAGGCTGCTGTGTGGCCAGGCTGGAGCTACCTTGTGCCGCATGCAGTGAGCTGAAACTGAGCTATACCTGATGGTAAGCAGCTTGGAGCAGGTGGCTGCTGTTGCTCCATCTCTGAGCCTGAACCCAGGTCAGGGCTGAAATCAGTTGTCTGTCCCCCTCCTCTGCCTTGAACTTGAATCCAAGACCAGGGGGCTTTTTCCCAGGTTGAATTGTGGGGGAAGAAATCCTGGTTTTGGATTTGAGTAAATATAGTATTGCTAATATCAGCATTTCATGAAATCTCTGTAGCTCTCACGTCTCAGTGGATTTCCACAGGTGTCTGTGATTTGAAATTTTAGGCAGTGGAGAACCAGCTCCACACCTTCTCTTGTGCTGTGCTGGGTTTCTTTGCTTTGCTAGAGTAAAGCAGTCAGAAGTTACTTCTGTAAGGTGTTACTTTTGCGTGGGTGTCTCCCGGTAGAGCTGTGCTTTGTGCCTGTACCTGTGCACTCTGATTTGTGACTACAGCACAGATTTTTAAAAAGCCATGCTGGGTGTCCTTTAGTGACCGTTTGTTTGATCTTGTTCTTTGTGATATACAAGAGAGGGAAGAACACGCATGAGTTTATCCTGTTCCCTTTCATACCTATAAAGTGTTGTGCCTCTTTTCTAGGAAATCCTTTAGTTCTGACACTCGCTCAATTCTTCCTTCTTAAATTAGCATAGGAATGACTTTTTAAAACGTGACTACTACTTGAGAACTTGCCTTGTTACTGCAGGATCCCTGGTGATGCCGCTTTCTCTCTGAAGAACAATTTTGCAGAATTTAGAGCAAATGAAATTGTATAGTTCTGTTTAGCATAGTGTGGAAATGATGTGCCGTTGAAGCGAGTGGATTTTCAACTATAAAGCAATGCTAGTTCTTTATATTGGGAAGTTTTGAGTCTGCTTATCTCTGCCCAGCTGGATTTTTTTACTGGCTGGGCAGCAGGTAGAAGTGCAGGATTAAAACTTGGACAGTCATAGGCCTCATGTTATATACAATAAAGTGTTTTCTTCTTTAGCAGACGCTAACTTCCTATGGAACTTGGATACTAACCCTCTTTCAGTCTCACATATAATGTTCATATAACAGTTCTCAGTCTTTTTAACTTCCTTAAAGCAGACTTAATCAAAGCAAGGTCTTCCACCTGTATCTGAGCATCACAAAGTGGAATTTGTCATTGGGTAGATGCACAAAGATTATTTTATATTATAGCAACCTTTATCTAAAATTGTTTCAGTAGCAATTTTTCAGTAAACAAGCTGAATTTGAGAGACGTGTTCATTAACTCCTGTATAACCTGCAGCTGTGTTCCATGTTGTATTGTGTTTTCAGATTGTTCGTTATAATAGGTCTCCTGATAAACATGTTCTTGAATGCGGTGCATGCTGGCTTTTTTCTTTTAAACAAACAAGCCTAAAATCTCTGTCTAGCCCATTGTAAGTCATCTCTGACTTGCCTTTGTTTCTATAATTCATTGCTGGTTCTCTTCTCATCCCTTTTCAAGCTGACTGAATCTTCTGATGAGGTAACTAGCTTTTGTCCCTCATTTCCCACTCATCTTCCTAACTTCATATAAATGCATAGAGATTAACCTTTTTGCAGCTATATTGCAATAGCCCAACTTTGACATCTACTGTTCACAAATATTAGGCATAACAATTTCAAGCTCTTTTTTTTTAAAAATTGGTTTCTGGCTCATCCACTGACTTCGGAAGCTCAGAAGGTGAAAGAAGGGAGACTTTTAAAAAAGATAGTAATTAAATATTATAACTGAAGGTTAAATGTGAGAAGATAATTCTTAAATGCACAGAGCTGAGGTTTTGCACAATATGCTCCATTATATACACGGTGTATTGCTCTTGTGTTAACCGTAGATATTTTTCCTACTTGCTGGTATTGAGAATCGGCAGGCATGATCGTGATGCTGGCTGTCACGCAGTTCATTTGCTGTGCTGTTGGATGTTAGGAATCCTTCTGGGCTTGTGTAATGCACGTTACAGAGCCACCTTAGTCTGGGAGAGGAAGCCAGTTTCTGCCATAGAAGACCTGACCTAGTTAGTGGCACTTTCGTTTCCCTTTTCTTGTGACCAGGTATTTAGCAGAATTTGCAGATTTGTTGGGATCTGATAGGACTGCACCATGCATGCTTCTTGCTATGGCTTCCAACTTATGACCTCTGGGCTGTTAACCATGTGCTTTAGCACACACCCCACCCCATTAGTGGCACTATTGATAAATCAAGCAGAGACTGTCTTTATTTAGGCTTCTGAAGCCCCAGAGAGGACAGGGAGTCCAGTGAGCCTTAGACACTGAGATGGCATTTTTATTCCTTGATCCAGGCAGTAAAGGAGGGGTAAAACTGGAGATCCTATACCATCCACACATGGCAGGTTCTTGCATTTGATTGTGTGTAGTATGTTTCTTAACCATCCCAGAGTGTCCTGCTCTGCGTGTTCACGTAGCCTTTCACCATATTGCCATCCTAATAATAATAATTTTTTTTTTTCCCTTTCGAAAATATTTCCTGAGCATATGTGTTGAGAATAAGCTGTCCTTCTAACGAAGCTTCTTGCTTTGTTTTAGGTTGCCACGATGACTCCACTTGATGAAGAGCTGAAGAGGTCAGGTTCAGCAGACGAGCGGAGACTGAATTCAGGAGCAGTTGCAGATTTCCCACCACCTGCTGGTCGTGAGGTTATTTTACGTACAACTGTACCCCGACCAGCACCTTACTCTAAGCTGCTACCACAGCGTATGTACAGCGTGCTCACTAAAGAAGATTTTCGACTTGCTGGTGCCTTTTCAGCTGATACAACATTCTTCTGACATTGCAAATTTTAGGTACCTTGTGTGTCTTCACAAGTGGAACACCATTCATTTCCTTCAAGGAAAATAAACCTTATGGATTGTGCCAGTCAGTCTTTGGAGAATGAGGGGAGAACTTTGTAGTTAGTAATCAAGAATAGCGTTTTTTCCCCGAGGTGGGAGTTGAACTGGTACCCCAGCACTAAGCCCTACTTCCATTGATTGGAATAGTGCCACAAGGATTTCTGCCCATTTTTCCAGGTGTCTGATTAGAAAATTCCCCTCTTTCTAAAGAAATGTATGTTTTGCATTAGACATTTTTATGGGCCCTGTGCAAATACTTTAACTGTAATGCAGTGTGTGCTGCTTTTCAGTCCTACTCTGCCTAAACATCATTTTATTAGGACTAGTCTGTTTAAAGTTTAATGTGTAAACATTGAATAGATGTATTTATTATCTGATTCCAAATTCTAGATATTCTGGTGAGTTTCTCACTGAAGTCCAATGACTGGTTAAAAACTACTTATTGCTTAAATGATATAGTGGAGATTATTGTGGTAAACTCTTTTAACATGCAGCATTTGTCTGAAAACCTCTTGTGTATATGATGTATTTTTTTTCTCCCAAACACCGAAATATTTTTGGCTATAAAAAGATAATCCTAAAATGCAGATAGCCTTAAACATATCATTCACCATTTTGGATATTCATGTACCTCACTTAATGTGAAGACCAAGGCTGTATGTAAACTACGTGGAAGTAGACGTTTTAAGCAACATCCTGCTGTTTGTAGAAACATCTTTGCCACGTAATGTACAACATGCATCTGTGTTCTTGTTGATCTGCTAATGACAGCACACTGAAACAAATACGAATCACATGCTGTAAACTATCATTTTAATGTATGTGCTGATGTAACAAGTAAAGGATTATTTTAAAGCAACAGCTGAATTTGTGAATAGGAATGGATCATAGCTGCATTACAAATTAAGCTATGAAAATGGTTGTGAAACCAGTTATCATAGTATAGTAGCTTGAACTTACAGTTGTTGTTGGAGATGACAATCCTTTACAATTGGCTAGGAACAGGATAACATTTTCAAAGTGTTACAGTAATATTTAAACCAGACATGTCTGATACAGTGATTGAATGGGGAGCTGATGTTCTCATTTCAATAATGGCATGTGTTCCATAATAGATGGTGTTACCCAGTACAATACATATCACTTAAATTCCAGACATATTGCATTTACTTGCATACCACATGTCCTCTCTGCTAAATTGGCTCTCCAAAATTGGGGTGTGGTAAGCAGAGAAGCTCCCCCTTTTCCCCCTTCCCCCCACAAATTAAAAGCATGGAGATGCTGTAAAATGGCTTCTGCTTCTTTTCCTTCTCTCCCTCTTCTGGAAGGAGGGGCAGAGCCTAGTCTTTAGCAGCAGCTAGTTTTTAACCTTTTCCTAGCTGAATTGGAACTCTCCCTCTTCCTTTTCCAGGCAAAAGCAGTCAATTCAGCTGTGAAAAGGCTCAAACAGTTGCTCTTGCCTGCATAAGAAAGGGCAGGTGAGTGAGCTGAAGATTAGGCTCTGTCCCTGCTCTAAGTAGCCATGATAGTGGATTTTTTTTCATTCTGCCTTCTTGGAAAATAATGTGCATCATTTTTGAGGGGGGGAGGAGAGAAAGCATATCATAAGCAGAAAATACAGCTTGGGGATGGGGGAAGACAATGTATTCTTAACAGGAGGGCTATCTCAACTTGGAACACCCCTCGCTCCACAACTCGCCCTTTATGCAGCTCAGAGGATGATTCTTTAGCTTAGCCACACTTGTTCCAGGTGTCTCAAATTTGGTTTTCACCTTACAGCAGAGTGGTTAAGGCTAATGATAGGGACCTAGTTAGGGAACTTTTGGAGGGGTTGGACATGTTTAAATCAGTAGGTCTAGATGCTCTTCACCCGAGGGTGCTGAGGGAATTGGCAGGGGTCCTCGGGGCCCCTGGCATGGCTCTGAGTGCTTGTGGGGCACTGGCCATGTACCAGAGGATTGGAAAAGGGCCAATGTGGTCCCCATTTACAAGAAGGGGAGAAAGGAGGACCCCAGCTATTATAGGCCAGTCCGTCTTACCTTGGTCTTTGGGAAGACCTTTGAGAAAATTATCAAGGAGCACATCTGCAAGGGCCCAGCAGGGGAGGTCTTGCTCAGGGCCAACCAGCATGGGTTCGTTGAGAGCAGGTCCTGCCTGACCAACCTGGTTTCCTTTTATGACCAGGTCCCGAAGTCCCTGGCTGAGGGTGTCAGGGTGGATGTCGTCTTCCTGGACTTTAAGAAGGCTTTTGACACGGTTTCCCATGACATTCTCTTAAAAAAACTTGGTGACTGTGGCATTGATGCTTACACAGTCAGATGGGTGGCAAATTGGCTAGATGGTTGCACCCAGTGTTGGTGGATGGGTTGTTTTTGACCTGGAGGGATGGGGCCAGTGGAGTTGCCCCAGGACCAAGCCCTGGGGCTGTACTGTTCAACATCTTTATCAGCTATCTAGATGTGGGTGTGGAATGCACGCTGTCCAAATTCACTGGTGACGCCAAGTTGCAGGGTGAGATGGGCACGCTGGAGGGGGAGGGGCAGAATCCACCTTGATGTAGACAAATTACAGAGGTGGGCAGATGAGAATAGGATGGAGTTCAACGCAGACAAGTGCAAGGTGCTGCAACTAGGGAGAAGGAACCAGCAACATACCTACAGGTTGGGGAACACCCTTCTTGTCAACACGGTGGCATTGTTGAGTCCAAGATGAACATGAGCTGCCAATGCGAGGAAGCGGTCAGTACAGCTAACCGCACCTTGTCATGTATCCATAGATGCATCGCAAGCGGGTCCAGAGAGGTGATCCTTCCCCTCTATGCGGCATTTGTCAGGCCACAGTTGGAGTACTGTGTCCAGTTCTGGGTGCTGCACTTCAAGAGGGATGTGGCTAGCACTGAGAGGGTCCAGAGGGCCACTTGCATGGTCAAGGGGCAGCGGGGCAGGCCCTACGAAGAGAAGCTAAAGGGCCTGAACCTATTCAGCCTGCACAAGAGAAGGCTGAGAGGGGATCTGGTGGCCTTTTACAAACTAACCAGGGGGACCAGCAGGAATTGGGGGAAGCTCTGTTTCCTTGGGCACCACCCGGGGTTACTAGGAATAATGGCCACAGATTGTTAGAGAAGGTTCAGGCTGGACATCAGGAGACATCACTTCACAGTTAGGGCTGCCAGGCTCTGGAATGGGCTCCCAAGTGAGGTGGTGCTCTCTCCTACCTTGGGGGTCTTCAAGACGAGGCTGGACAGATGTATGACCATGGCACCCGTTCCTGCCTGGGGTAGGGGGTCGGACCTGATGATCTGTTTAGGTCCTGGCCGACCCCAAGTACTATGATACTATGATAATGCAGACATGCCTACACTAGGTATCACTCAGCAGCTGTGCTTGGTGCCAACAGAAAATTGTTAAACTACACCGGGAAAGGTTTCCAAAACCTTTTCCAAAAAGCATTTCTTGTTAATAAATCTTCAGTAAGGCCCAGCATAGCATCTCTTCTTGGTTTAAGGTTCTCTTTCTACACTAGTATATTTATAGACATCTTCTGCACATGCATTTTAATCCACTTCAGCAGTTTTCTTTGTTATCATGCTTCCTGTATTACCATAATTGTCTAAAAGAAAAAAAGCTTTTGTTAGAATCTGATTGTTACCTCCGCGTGTGCATTTTTTCCTCCTGACTTAATTCTTTAGCTGTAAATGCTTCATTACTATTTTGGAATGGCACTAGTAGTGACGGGCAACCAACTTACCACTAACTAGCCTGTGTGTGTGTGTGTGTGTGTGTATAAATAAATATATATATAAATAAATATAAGCAGCAGTAGAGGGGGAAGCTTGAAAAACAAGCCACTAAAGCACCTGAAATGCTTTGTTTTTTATGGCAAGGTTTTAAAAATTATTCTGACAGCATCCTTTTCAGCTGGTGTCTGTAATTCCTGCTATTTCCTAATGACTTCTTAGTAGAGGAATCATATTTGCAGTGAATGCTGTTGAAAGCAGCTCTATCTTATTCCCCATCCTGAGCACTTTACTTTCGTTTAGCTTGGCTGTCTAATCAGGGCTTTGTTCTTACTGAATTGGCTCTGATTAATTTTCTCCCCCCACCCCTCTGCCTTCATCTCACAGTGCTGTTTCCCTTCCTTTTTCTTAGTATCATGTGCTAGCAGTCATCCCTCATTGTCCCTTACCTGGGCCATTGGGAAGACTTTCATACTGTCGCTAATCTTGCACATGCATCACAGAAGGCAGCTTTGGGCTGCACCTACTGCCGGTCATCGCCTGTAGCAACGGCTCTCTTTAATGGCTGGAACCAAAAGTCACTGTCTCTTCACAAGAAAGTCACAAAGCCAAAGCTAAGAGTTGCAGCTCAGAAAAGGCTAAGCTCCTTCCTTTCCCTTCCTGTACTGAATCAGCTGTTTAAAGTTATGAGACATTTAACTGTTTTCCCCTGCCTTGGTAGCTTTTAGTGTGAATATAGTGATGGCCTATTTCTTGACAGTAAGGTCTTATGCTCTCCTCTAAAGCATGGTAAAGCGCTCGTAAGAAGTAGACTAAATTATTTAGAGACTGGTAGCTTTTAGACTTTTTTCTGACTGATGTCTTTTCCAGTTTTCTGTTGCTGGTGAGCAAGTGAAATGGGCTCCAGCGGCTTCTGTGTCGGCTTCGGCAGTTCCTTCATTTGATCGTGGATGCTTTTCCATCTGTGCCTTTGAGATGGAGTGGGTGAAGATGGTATTTTCCAGAACTAGTCAGTTCAGCTAAATAATCTAAAGAGTTTTATACAGCGGTGTTTTTCTTTCAGTTAAGGCCTCAGGAGCCCTTCTCTAGTGATACTTAAAATGAAGCTCACTTCCATGGAGACTGGAACCATTACATGATCATGAAAGCTGCTCTTTCCACAAGATATTTCAGGATCTTCAAAACTCCACAGAATGATGCTCCTGGCCGGAGTTATATTGAGAGAGAGAGAGAGAGACGGGGGCTCCCAAACAAAGAAAAGTTGACTGGTGGCTGTAGGGACCCTCAACAGCAGCAGCTCTTCCCCATATTGCAGCACTTAGAAGTAAATAACCGACCTGCAGGCTTGCCAAAGAAAAGCTGATTTAGCCTTGTTAGAAAGTTAAGCCTTTCCAGATTTTATGTTTCCATCATGAGTTTTAGAAGTATATGCAGTTTTTCAACTCAAAACTAAACTCTCCAGCGCATCTCATTGAGGAGATCTGATTGCCGGAAGTTAAGGGATAAATCTCTGGATCAGCTTTATATGCAGCACTATAGTCTGACTATTCCTTCTAGACAAGTAGAGAAAGGAGAATGAAAACCATGTGGTCACTTTGGCCATCTGCTGTTCCCAGTGCTGTCAAGTCTGCTTATCCTGTGTATGAGAAATATGGACGAGGAGAGCTCCACCTTTGGCTACCTCAGTTCTGCAGTTATGGGGAATGTGTCGATGCCAAACAGCACGACTGCTAAATTTTCCAACATTTACTATCCCTTACGCACAGCTTAACCGGATGGAAAACGGTATGGGTTTATTTGAGCTTCTTGTGCTCACTTCAGTTAGTTGCATATGTTAGTGTAACAGTTTGTTATCGGGTGACTGTAAACAGCAAATCTGATCTTTGGTAAAAGGACTCTCCAACCTTGACCCCATTCTCTGGGTATTATAGTGTCCTAGGATTCCTCCATCTTGCAAGGCTGGTATTAATATGATTCTGGGGGACAGATGATAAAAATGAAGAGATTGGGGAGGGTATTTCATGTTTTCATCAGCAAAGCAGCACTCAGTTGTCTGATGGCCCAATTCGCCTCTTCCCTACCCCCTGTATTACCATAGGAAAGGAAGGAGTAATTCTACTGTC